AAAAAAAAAAAAAAATCAGCTTGCTCACACACTTTCTATCTTCCCTTCTGTCATCAGATATTGGGATACAAGACTCCAGATTTATCCAGTACTTTAATTTGCACTATTTTGTAAAGGTTTGCAAGATGAGGTATATCAAAAGTTCAGAAGTAGTCAGTTCTCAGTGGCTTTGAGGATTAATGCCGCTTAACCCCCTGCTATTGATTTATTTTAAAACTATATTCTTTGATTCAGAGTTTGGAAGGAGTCTTAAGATCACTAAGTTTGACTGATCACATAGCAAGTTAGTAGCCAAACTGGGCCTTCTGATTTCCTGTGCGCTTTACTGCCCTAATCTTTCCTTTATAAACTTGAGGAAGTATTTACTGCCATAGAGATAAAGTTGTTGACAGAAAAGAATGCTCCTATTTAAGGAGCCAGGCAATTTAAAGGATATGTGTTCTGAAAAGATGGATAATTCCTCAAGAGATTACAGTTAAATGAAATTAACTGAAATGAAATTTATTGTGCCTGGAATGAAAGAGTTCTGTACAACAGCAGAAATCCTTTCTCTTGACATTCAGTGGATTATATCCTAATATTGGTTCAGGCACTATAGGAGTTGCCAAGCACACCTGACCTTTGGGATCTAGGCGTGTTGCTGTTACTGTCATGTCCAAGGTGACCGAACGGCGCCTCTCATGCCTGCAGTGCAGCATTCCACACTTGTGTGCGCTAATGGGCTCCATGCTGTCTGTGCGTTGGAGCTGCTGAAGCTCTGTCAGGGGCCTGCAGAGAAAAACCTACCATCATCATTCTTCACACCCACCATCAGCCTCCTCACCAAAACTGTAACATACAGTGTTAACGCATGTCAGAGAACTTTTGTTTCTGAACAGACCTTTTGTTGTAGATTTTACTTGCAGATTTCTTTCTTTCAACCGTCTGCGTGTATCTCATTTTCATTATTTGAAAAATATAATGTTTTTTGAAGGTTTGTCTCTCCCAAAATGTTAAGATCCACAAACTATTTTCAGAGAAAATATTCAACTTATTGGTACTTGTGATTAAAAAGCCCTTTTATGTTTTGATGTCTTAGAAGAAGAAGAGGAAAATGAGAAAAGGCAAAAACTTGTGAGAAAAAAACAACAAGAGGCCCAGGGAGAAAAGGTAAAGCATAATTTTTAGAGAGTTTATATATAGAGAGAGAATACAGAAATATCTGGGGCATTTAAATATCTGTTGCTCTCTGTGTTCATGCTCAGATTTTTTTTATTACTGAGGTCTAATTCACATGACATAAAAATTAGCCATTTTAAAGTGTACAATTCAGTGACATTTAGAACATTCACAATGTTGTGCAACCACTACCTCTGTCTAGTTCCAAAAGATTTTCTTCACCCACAAAGAAAACCCCATACCCGTTAAACAGTCACTTCCCCATTTTCCCCTCCTTCCGTTCTCTGGCAACTACCAGTCTGCTTTCTGTCTGTATGGATTTATCTCTTCTGGATATTTCATATAAATGGAATCATACAACATGGGACCTTTTGAGTCTGGCTTCTTTCACTTAGCATGATGTTTTCTGGGGTTCACCCATATAGCATATACCAGTACTTTATTCCTTTTTATGGCTGAATAATGTTCCATTGTATGGATATATCAGCATTTGTTTATTCATTTATTTGCTGATGGACATTTAGGTTTTTTCCTACCTTTGGCTATTGTGAATAGTGTTGCTGTGAATATTTGTGCACAAGTATTTGTTTGAATACCTATTTTTCAATTCTTTTGGGTATATACATAGGAATGGAATTGCTGGGTCATATGGTAATTCTGTGTTTAACTTTTTGAGGAACTGCCAAACTATTTTCCACGCTGGCTATACTATTTTATATTCCCACCAGCAATTTCTGAGGGTCCGCGTTTCTCCACATCTTCACCAAAATTTGTTATTCCCACCACCCCCTTCCCTTTTAAATACCCATCATAATGCGTATGAAGTGGTATTACGTTGTGGTTTTGATTTGCGTTTCCCTAATGACTAGTGGTATTGAGTGTCTTTTCATGTGCTTTTTGGACATTTGTATATCTTTTCTGGAACGTCTATTCAAGTCCTTTGCCCATTTTTAAATTGGGTCGTCTTTTTGTTGTTGAATTATAGGAATTCTTTATATATATTCTGGATACTAGACTCTTACCAGATATATGTGTGCAAGTATTTTCTCCCGTTCTGTGGATTGTCTTTTCACTCTTGATAGTGTCCTTTGATGCACAAAATTTTAAAATTTTGATGAAGTCCAATCATCTATTATTTCTTTTGTTGCTCATGCTTTTGCTGTCATATCTAAGAATCCACTGCCAAATCCAAATCCATGAAGATTTACCCCTATATTTTCTTCTAAGAGTTGAATAGTTTTAGCTTTTATATTTAGGTTATTAACCCACTTTGAGTTAATTTTTGTATATGGTGTGAGGTGAGGGTCCAACTTCATTCTTTTGCATGTGGATATCCAGTTGTCTCAGCAGTGTTTGTTGAAGAGACTATTTCTTTCCCCATTGAATGGTCTTGGCACTCTTGTTGAAAATCAATTGGCCATAGATGTATGAGTTTATTTCTGGGCTCTCACTTCTGTTCTGTTGATTTCTATATCTGTTTTTGTGCCAATACCATGTGGTTTTAATTACTGTAGCTTTTTAGTAAGTTTTGAAATTAGGAAGTGTGAGTCCTCCAACTTTGTTCTTTTTCACTATTGTTTTGGCTATTCAGGGCTTCTTGCAATTCCATAGAATTTGAGGATTGCCTTTTCCATTTCTGCAAAAAAAAAGTGTTTGGAATTTTGAGAAGGATAGCATTGAAATCTGTGGATTGCTTTGGGTAGTATTGACCTCTGAATGATATTAAGTCTTCCAGTCCATAAACATGCAATGTCTTTCCATTTATTTATGTCTTTAATTTCTTCCAGCCATGTTTTGTAGTTTTCAGGGTATAGAGCTTTCGCCCTCTTGGCTGAATTTATTCCTAAATATTTTATTCTTTTGGATGCTATTATAAATGGAATTATTTTCTTAATTTTCTTTTTTGATTTTTTTCATTACTAGCATGTAGAAGCACAAATGATTTTTGTGTGTTGATCCTGTACCCTGCAACTTTGCCTGTTGTTTATTAGCTCTAGTGGGTTTTGTGTGTGGATTCTTTGGGATTTTCTATATATAAGATCATGTCATTTGAGACTAGGGATAGTTTTACTTCCTCCTTTCCAAAATTCATGTTGTTTATTTCTTTTTCTTGCCTTGTTGCTCTGGCTAAAACTTCTAAACAATGTTGAATAGCAGTGGTGAGAGCAAGCTTCCTTATCTTGTTCCTGATCTTAGAAAGCTTTTAGTCTCTCACCATGGAATGTGATGTTAGCTATGGATTTTTTCTAGATGCTTGTTATGTTGAACAAGTTCCCTTCTGTTCCTAGTTCTGAGTATTTTTATCATGAAAGAATGTTGAATTTTGTCAAATGCTTTTTCCTCATCAATTAAGATGATCATGTGGGGTTTTCCTATTTGTTTTATTAATATGTATTACATTGATTTTTCTTATGTTGAACCATCTTGAATTCTTGGGATAAATCACACTTGGCATTGGTATACAATCCTTTCAATAAGCTGTTGGATTTAGTTTGCTAGTATTTTGCTTTTTTGGCAAAATTCAGTTCATGTAAAAACACAATTTCTTACGTGGTTCTTTTTTTTTTTTGGTGGGGAAGATCGGCTCTGAGCTAATATCCGTTGCCAATCTTCCTCTTTTTGCTGAGGAAGATTAGCCCTGAGCTAACATCTGTGCCCATCTCCCTCTATTTTATATATGGGACGCTGCCACAGCACGGCCTGATGAGTGGTGCGTGGGTCCATGCCCGGCATCCGAACCCGCGAACCCCGTGCTGCTGAAGCAGAGCATGCAAACTTAACCACCATGCCACCAGGCGAGCCCCAGTCTTACTTGGTTCTTATTTACAACTTTATAGACATTGTAAAATCTTAGGAAGGTTAATGTATAGTAACACCACCTAATTTTTTATTTTTTTTTTTGAACAGGCCAGCAGATACATAGAGAATGTTCTAAAACCTCACCAGGAAATGAAATTGAAAAAACTAGAAGAGCGCTTTTATCAGATGACGGGTGAAACCTGGAAGTTAAGCAATGGTCATAAACTTGGGGTTAGAAAATGTTCTCTTTTTATATTTTGAGTTTTGCTCTTACTCATGTTTCCTTTTCCATGTATTGATTTTTTAAAGTTGCAAATGATGTTAAACTGTACTATAGTCTTTTTTTTTTTGGAGTAATAATAGTAATGATCGTATATCAGTTTTTTTCAGCATATTTGCATGTCAAAAGGTTAAGTGGTTTTTAATGCCTAAAGAGCATAGATACTTGAAAAGCTCTAACATAAGGTGGTCTTTGAGAAAACTATTGACTAAATCACTATGTTTTATATAAGGGAATTCGATCTTTCCTGAAGTAAGATCTCCAGGGTCTTTAAGCTCACATTATATTTGGCTCTGTTTTTGTAAAGCCAGTTAACCTTTGACTCTTTTCCTCTGGCACTGAGTATCAATTTTGTCCTTTGCTCATGGAAGTTTACAATTTTTAGTTTTCTTATAGAGGCAAAAGGATACTCATAAAGGAATTACATTTTAGAGTAACTGGACACAGATTTTATGTGTAAGATCATTTCTGTCCCAAATACTTTTTTGTTTTTTTTGCTTTCTGTTTATACTGTACCTTTCACCATCTTGTAAAGAAAATGATCCAGTAAACAGAATTCTTATGGTGAAGTGAATCAGTTTTTATTCATTTCATGATGGTAAACATGTCATAAAACAATCAAGAGTGGGTAATAAAATTAATGTGAAAGGCAACATAAAATGCAGCTGCTCTATGTAGTGATTTCCCTTCTGAGTTGAGTTTGTCTTCTGTTCAGTTTTGTGGTGTTAGACATTGAGAGCCTGATTTTAGCTGCTACAGCTCTTTCTGAAATGGTCACACTGTGAATTAGTGATTCTGCCCCTTGCTTTTAGGCTATGTCTTCACAGCACTACTAGTATATATTTTAACCTAATTAGTGGGGACAACAAAAAGTCAGGGACAGGGTAGACCATTGGAGTTGTTATGACTTAAGGCTCTTAGGACTATCAAAGAGCATGAGCATCGGAATGTTAGAGCTAAAGGGAAGTGTATCCGTCGGCTGATCCAGCCCTGTGGTTTGCAGGGAGGCAGCCCAAGTTTGGCCAGTTAAGTGTTCAGCATCAGGATCTCTTGACTCCCATTCCCCATGCTCCTTCCACCAGATTCTCTTAAGATAAAGGAATGGGGAAAACAGCCCACCAAAATGGTAGCCATTTTAGTCTGATAAAGAGAACTTTTAGAAGGTGAGTAGATATGGAAGAAAGGCATTAGTGAACTAAAAAGTAGTATATATTTGAGAATTTGACTTTTAAGTGATTTATCTTGCTAAGGAAAAAGTTTTAATAGGTAATATTAATAAAAAGTAATCTTTATGGGGGCCAGCCCGGTGGCGTAGCAGCTAAGTGTGCTCGCTCCTCTGCGGCCGCCCAGGGTTCACAGGTTCGGATCCCGCACACACACGGAGGCACTGCTTGTCAAGCCATGCTGTGGCGGCGTTGCATATAAAGTGGAGGAAGATGGGCACGGATGTTAGTCGAGGGCCAGTCTTCCTCAGCAAAAAGAGGATGATTGGTGACAGATGTTAGCTCAGGGCTAATCTTCCTCACACACACACACAAAAGAGTAATCTTTATGATTTCTGGAATAAAATTTTTTGCCTCCTAAAGTGATTAATTCAAGTGGAAGATCAAAGTTTGAATTTGAGAACTAAACTATGTTTATATATAACAAGATACTAGGGCCACATTCGGCTATGGAAGTTTTGCGTGGTCACATACATAGACACATGTTTTTATATACGTGGTCTATTTTCACAGCTTTTTAAGGCATAATCCCTTGGAGGAAATGGTCTCATTTAGGTTTTCTTCTTTCTTACATCCTACTGAAAAACTTGGGGGAAAGGTCCCTCTCAGCCTTGTATCTATCAGAGGGAACCTCAGAGCTGGATAAGGGTAGTTTGTATAAGACGTTAAGCTCCATGTTTTCTTGTCTAAGGAGATAATTCTTTAATTTTCTGGGTCTAATAATGACTTAATTATATTTTTTACTGAAATGCTATCAGGGGAAAAGAAATAGTCATTGTGAACAGAATAGAGTTGATAGAGAGCATCTCCTTAGAAATTCTCTGTTGTCTTTGACCAGGGTGGTGAAGATTTGGTGCTTGAAAATGAGAGTCAGACATCTTTTGAAACATCAAACAGAGAAGCAGCAAAGAGACGGAACTTGCCTGAGCCTTTAACCAAAGTTTCACCACCTGCTGAACAGCCCATGCAGAAGAAGGTGCATTACTTAATGCCTACTCACTGCAGTGTATCAGTGTGCAGGAGGAGTATTATTCTGTGGGTGTTGGTGTACTGAGTGAAGATTAGGACTGGCTTTTAATCCACATGGTGTCTTCCTACTACCTTACAAAGTGATCAACTTCATTAAGAATCACTTTTCCTGGGGCCGGCTTGGTGGCATAGTGGTTAAGTTCACGTGCTCCACTTTGGTGGCCTGGGGTTCGCAGGTTTGGATCCTGGGCACGGACCTACACACCGCTTATCAAGCCATGCTGTGGCAGGCGTCCCACATATAAAGTAGAGGAAGATGGGCACGGATGTTAGGCCAGGGCCAATCTTCCTCAGCAAAAAGAGGAGCATTGGCAACAGACGTTAGCTCAGGGCTAATCTTCCTCACACACACACAAAAAATCACTTCTGGTTTAATATTAATGTTAATGTTCTGAACCAAACTTAGAAGGAAGCTATGAAGATAAATGATAATAGGTTTAGAAAATACTCAGTTCTTCTTGAGGAAGCAATTTGATTATGTAAAAATGAAAAATATACTGTTTACTAAGGGAAATATATCTATGGGTAGCTAAGACATGATTAAGCCATATTTACTGAGTGGCTAATATATGTATATTTTTTTTGGTAAGGAAGATTAGCCCTGAACTAACATCTGTTGCCAATCCTCCTCTTTTTACTGAGGAAGATTGGCCCTGGGCTAACATTCGTGCCCATCTTCCTCTACTTTATATGTGGGACGCCTGCCACAGCATGGCTTGATAAGCCATGCATAGGTCTGTGCCTGGGATCCGAACCCGCGAACCTGTGGGCTGCCGAAGTAGAGCGCGTGAACTCAACCACTACGCCACTGGGCTGGCCCCTGTTGCTAATATTATTAATATGAGTTTATCATTTCTCTCAGTGGTCCTTCTAGGGAATGGGTTAGCAACCACTGACTTTAAAACAGTGCCCAGATTTATTATTCCTTTTTTTCTTTCAAATCTTTGATCCCTAAGTTGACTCTGATTTGGAGCTGACAAAGGTTGGAAATTAGAAGTCTGTTTTTACTGACCTGTAGGGAGAGCCTGTAGGCCATCTACTCCCTGAAAGTCGTTTCTAGTGTACTGCCTCTCACTCTGAGGTTTCCTGGTCCTTTAATGGAGCTCAAGGGTGAGAATCAGGTCATCGAACTATTTCTAACATTTCAAAAAGATCTGATGAACTGTATGGACTAATTAAAAATTCAAGATTCTTTGCTTTTTGCTAATGACATGAATTATCTCATGCTAATGGTAAAATTTTTTTTTTTTTAAGATTTTATTTATTTATTTATTTTCCCCCCAAAGCCCCAGTAGATAGTTGTATGTCATAGCTGCACATCCTTCTAGTTGCTGTATGTGGGACGCGGCCTCAGCATGGCCGGAGAAGC